TCTAATAGCAATCTAATAATATAATATTTTAATAATATTTTAATAATATAATAGCAACCTGTTTAAAATAATTAAATAATGTTACTAATATCTTAACATTTAACAATATGATAAAAATATTGTTAATAGTAACTTAACAGATTAAAAATATTTTTATCATATTTTTATCATATAATAGTTATATAACTATCATATGATAATCATAAATGGTAAAATTCAAAGGTTTCTGCTAGGTGTGTCATATGACTAGCTAATAGTAAAAACGATATGATTTGGATCTTTTATTTCTCGGCAAATAAGTCCAAATAAATTAGAAATTCCTACCCAGATTTCTAATTGAAGATCTTAATCATTTTATGCTGTTTTAAGCTCATGTACGAGGACATTATAAATTTACATTTTTCTGTTGCAATACGTGATTATTTATAGTATAGTTGACTAAATATTGATCAACTTTAGTTTTGCACAAATCTTTCAATTTGATTATATTGAAAGTTCAAGGTCCAATCTTAAAATTCATACTGTATACTGCATATTTTTCATCAAATAAATAATTTCACGATCGTTATTTATTGAAACGTAGTCTATAATATGTTATATGCTAAAATTAATATTGATCACATAGTTAAAGAGACTTACTGAAAAAGCAAATTTCAGGTTTCATTTTCCGTGAGGATTTCCAAATACATCTTGTACACGACTTTCGGCCGAAGTGTAATCGTTTGTGTTCAATGACTAATTTATAGATTCGGCCGAACAAGATAAGCTATGTTTAGTGCTGTACATTATGCAAAATAATTTATGAATAAATGCATGCGTGTCACTTTATTATATCACGGTATTCACGCGCCACCATTTTATAATATTCGCGAAGCATTAGTTCTCCTGAAATACGTGTACCTTTGTTTTGATTCTTTTTTCCTCTTTTTATTATCACTTTAAAAATCATCACTATTGCCTCATTAATATCAATATGATACAATTTAAGCAAAAATATAACCATATATTTATGCAAAAAAAATTGACAAATTTAGCTAGGTTTGATTGTTTTCATTGTTTTTTGCGTATGCATATAATGGGGTAATTCGGCCGAGAATACTATGAAATTGAGTTTGTGGTTCATTCTGTAATCTTTTTTTAAATGTCTTTTGCTCAAAATACATACCTAGCAGAGAAAAGATCTGCCGACCTTGATCAGTAGAAAACTTTTTTTAAAAAAATGAAAGTATGTATTTCTATTAGTATTTAATTCATGGTTTTGTCATTTTTGTTAATAAAAGACTATTTACAGGATTCAATGTAGAGATGATTATGATTTATTAATATTCAAAGTTCAAACGCGTCTGAGTATTTTTTATGAAACATCAATTTTGGATTTATGTTACACGGGTTGCTAGTTTCTAACCTCGGTAAAGACGATACAAAGATCTTAAAAACACATTATCTCATTCAATTTAGTACATGCATAAATTAGACAACGTTCTTTGTGTTATGAATGGATGTTACACAAATACAAGGCCAAAAACATTTACGAAATCAAATTCTATATCTTTGGCTCGAATTTGTTACACAAATCTCTGTCTAACTACGCGAAAATACTTTTAGATTAAGTTCATTTTGAATACTCGAATACATAAAGTTATGACATTTCAAAAATAAAAACTTTATGGCAATGTTATCGTATTATAGAAAATATTACATATTAGATATATGTTAAAAACTTCTTTCTACAAATCTCGACACATGATCGATACAGCCAAGTAAATAATAAACTTGTTTATTACTCGATTTAAAATTTTTTTACTGCTGAAAGAAAAAACAAATTGTACTGCAATGTACGTAGATGTGTACGTACGTGGCACTCTGTGTAAGATAGCATACATTTAATATATGCGTATCTTTCCAAAGATTATTTGTCACAAGTTTTTCGGCCGAGATGGATTATTTTGGAAAAAAGTTATTGTAAAAGGGTGACAATTAGTCGACGGATAAATAACACGCATATCACTTATGGATCACTTTAAAAGAAGTTATCACTTAGTGAAAGAACTTTGGACAGACGCAACCCATAACAGTGGCGCGTTAATAATACTAAAAACGTTAAATACAAAATGCAAAAAATGAAATATTTCGGATTCCTTTTTTGAAATTTGATTATCTGCATTTCTAAAGAATTTTTGCAGACTATTGATCATATGGAGTGACAGAAACACTTAATTACTGCATACAATAAGTTATAAAAATTTATCGGAGAAATTTTGGCTTATAAATCGATGCTGTTTGTGAATTCATATTAAGAATCTATATCTAGAGCAGCATTTTTTTATTACTTTTTTTGTAATATCCTTCAAATAAAATTTTTAGATTTCTATGTTTGACCGAACGAAAGTGTTTTTCGTCAACTTAACCAATTATGACAATTTATCACGCGTTTATCACATGATTTTGTCTTTGTTGCACTTAGTTTCATTAAATGTTTGAATATTAATGAGTGTTTAACTGGTTTAGGCTATGATTAAGCTATTAAAATCATCTTAAATCGTCAGTTCTATATGAGCTCGTTTATATTCTAATACTGTACTCTTTGATTAGTCATGAATATAGTTGTTAGACGAACCCTTTTTCGCATGATGACGAAAGACGAAACCTCTGACGAAAGTCGAAACCCCAAATTCTTCTGACGAAAGACGAAGCCTTAAACTTAAAATGACGAAACCTAACACTCAAAAAAACGAAACCCTAGTGCTCCCCGCTAAAAAAAAAATAAAAAATAAAAATAAAAACATAAAGAGAAACAAATATTATTTTCTTTGAATATTCATAATATTCAGAGATCAGTATCCGAAATTACAGGTATGCCAGTAAAAATAAACCAGTTCATTTTTTCTGGACAATGCTAGGGTTGTTATAGACCGGTTGAAATAACCTTGTCAAAAAGCCATAGTACTCATGGAATAACACAAATAATGAATTAAAACATACTGGCACAAAATAAATTTGTAATATCACAAAGTAAGCGCCAAGCGATTTTGGGTTTACTAATTTCCCCCACCACTTCACTATCGGAGTACTATAAATTCCGATATGTGAATAATAAGTAGAACTAATCAGAAGTTAGTAAACTCACGATTTTTCACTAGAACTGATATGTATAATATTTTCATTTCTAACTCCCTTTAAACAATTCAAGCGCCTATTATACAATAAATTTTTTGTAATTTTTATTTTATACACGTAATCTTCAATGATTTTCAACAACATTTATTTGTACATTCGTCTTTTATTAGTTCTGTCACCCTTTACAGTTTCGTCAGCTTCATCACCTTTCGTCAGTTTCGTCATTTAAAATTTTTTAATTGACGAAAGACGAAACTAGGTTCGCGTTTCGTCAGCGCGAAACCTCAAGGTTTCGTCTAACAACTATAGTCATGAATAATCTTTTCGTTTAAGTACTCTAGGGTGTTCTCAATGAATTCTATAAAGAATCTGACCGTTTGATCAGATAGACCAATCAGATTCTTCGTTGAATCCACTGAGGAAGGTGCTTGAAACTTTCAGTATTAGCTATTATATACCAGTGTTGCCACTGGAATTCTGGAATCCCGCTGGAAGTCCAGAGTCTTCCAGCCTTCCAGTGGTTCCAGTGAGAAATCCCACTGGAAGAATTTTTCCACTGGAACCGGTATAGGATTAGCCAATAAAAATGCATGAATAGCAAACAACATTAACCAATAAAAAACGTACATATTTCATGTGATTTTAATTATAAAAACCTTTCGTACGTAGTACTTAGCATACAAGAACTCAGGTTGATCAAATTAGCGTAGCCCAAAAGAGAAACTAATCGTAAAACAATTATAAATTTATACTTCTAGTGTTCTTTTATTTATAAATAATATTCGTTAATCTGTTAAAAACCTTTCACTATGTAGTACATAGCATACAAGAACTCAGGTTGATCAAATAAGCAAAGCAAAGAGAAACTAATTGGTAAACCAATTATAAATTTATACTTCTAGTGTTCTTTTATTTATAAATAATATTTGTTAATCTGTTACAATTTATGTGTTGCAGGGTTAATACCAGCATAGTTCTTTCCAAGATCTAAACCAGAATATATTACATGTATTTGGAGAGTTTTTTTTTTTTTTTTTTGCTTGATTTTAAAATAACTATAATTTAAATAGAAGGTAAAGTTTCAAGATTTTATTTCGACGCAATTATTTAATAACACAAGTTGGTTGCCTATGAAGGAGGCTCTAAGCACTGCTGTCAGAACAATAGACCATGATAAATATCAATATGATTATGTAAGACACACAAAAAAAAGTAAAAGATATTCAAAAACAAAAAAACCTACCTATCATTATTCATATAATTTGGTTTTTGAAATTGCATACTAAATATATCACATAATTCTCATTTTGCTTTATTATCTACTGCTGGATGCTTGTAATTACTCAACAAATTACTTTCCATATAACTATCATAATTGTCTCACTCTTCTTCTTCTTCCTCTAGTCTAGCAACTTCTTCATCTATTAGCATTTCCTCCCAGTCACATAATTAATTTTCCCAATTTTCAGCATTTGTTATGTCTGGTAATTCATTATCAGTGTCTTCATCTGTATCTATATTTAATTCAATTTGTCTATCTGTAGGTTTATTTGTAGTTTCACCAATAGGTAATGCGCTGGATTGGTTGAACATGGTATCACAAGTATTAATTTGTTTTTTTACTCAAGAAAAGTTAATTGAAGCATGAATTTGACTCATAGCCAGTACTTTATCATTCTATTTTTTTTTTTTAAAAAAAAAAAAAGTCAGTTAATTTTAAAACTAGGAACCAAGAAAAAATCTTACATGGAGATGGCAACAACAGTTAGTATGAAAAATCCCATTGAACTCTATAGTTATTCTACAAATACTGCATTAACACATATTCCAAATAAGCATATAGCCAATAGACCTAATTCTTTAGTTGAAGGTGAAGTGAATTCTCAAAATTGCAGTGCATTATCTTCAAATTGTTCATATGTTGCAAGGTCAAAGGGATATTTACGTTTTCTATATTCTTCTAACTCAAGTAAGATATGAGTTGGTTGGTGTCTAAACCACGCTTTGTAATAATAAATAACAAATTGAGCTAGGTATGTAAAGTTTAAGTTTTCATTATTACTGTTAAACCATGTAATATAAATATTTAGATGTAAAAGAAAAGATAATAATAATAATGGTTGTTCCCATTGTCTCCATTTTTGTTTTAACTGTAGGATTATATGTTGGGCTAAATCATAATCCGAATACTCCTCCCACATTCTCAATATTCCACCAAAAGCTTGTAACACATTGTAAAGACATGCAGTATCTGACTGTAATTTGTTAAGAGCTCCACAATAAGGAAGAAGCAAAGAATGTAATCGCATTATTGATTGCCAAAAATCGTGGTTAAGTAGAATTACTGTTATCAGTTGTGGGAGATAAAGTTCATCTGAACTATTCAAAGGTTGATTTGATTCTTCATCACCAAAGTCATTTGTTGAGATTTCGAAAGGTAATTTAAACTTAATAGCTAAATTCTTAAAAATTTTAATATTTAAGTTATTTTAATTAGATACTTGTTTAAATTAATACATTATAAGTACTAACTCTTAAAGCTTGATGGGATTTTATTAGGCTTTTGAAACAATAACAATATGAATTCCAATGGGTATCACCTGGGCAAATTAATGTAATGTATTTTGAATATATTTGTTTTTGTATATCTCGAAGCTTTCCGATAAAGTATGAATGAAGTATAGTATTAAAATAGCTAACTATTTTTATTGATTGTTTCATTGCAAGTTTAAACTCTGCAGACTCTTTGAAAATTTCTCTTACAGTTAAATTGCACTGATAAGCGAAACAAGGAATAAACACTATTTCCGGATATTGTAATCGTAGCCGACATCTATTGAAATAATTAGAAGAATGTTGCAGATTATTATTTTATTGAAATTTATTTATTTATTTTTATTTATTATTTATTTTTTTAAAATTTATTTTACTTTATTTTTTTTTTAATTACCTTGCAGCAGAATATGCTAGCACACTATCGGAGACAATTGACAATAATTTTGCCTCTAAACTCGATGCATCTTGAATCATATTCTTAATCTTAGAAATAACGTCGATTATTCTCTCTCTCTCTGAACTAGTATCAATTGCTTCCCAAACTTGAACCTCCCCAGTTGATAAAATAAATAACGAACCAAAGATATGTTGTTTTAGAATATTTTTCCACCCATTAAACGCCAAGATAACTCCAATTTTATTCTTCTTTATTTTTTGCTTTTGTGATTTAATGTAATTTGTTTTTTTAGCCTTGAGGATACGATTAGATAATAAATACTAACTAGGAAGAGTAAGCACTGGATTTAAGAATTCAAAAAGTTTTTTGGTTTCTGGATTTCTTATTCAATTAAACACCTATCCATTTGATATCGTCATCCAAAGCAACAATCATTCAAATTTCGGTCTTTCCTTTATACCAATATCTCTGGCAATAAAGTTAAACATAGTTCTAGAATTTGATACTTTTTTTTTTGGCTTTTTAATCAATGTAGGGGTTGTTGAAGAAACACCAGATATGTCACTTGTGCAATTTTCATCATTATTATCGATTTTTTTTAAAAAAAAATATTTAAATGCTAATTTGCAAATTTCAAATATTTACAAATTACCTGATGTATTAGCACTTCTATACTTTTTTGAAGTTTTTTGGACCTTATCTTCTTAGTTGTCTGTCCTGTTACAATATTCATCTACTGCATTTTGAGAGCCAAGCTTAGTATGAAAATATTCGCATGTTTTTAAGTAATTTCGAACAATGTTTTTCTTATTGGTGATTGGGTCTTCTAAAGTTTTATCCTGGCCAAGAACTTCATTACAAGCCTTACATATACAATTTGTATTATATTTATTTGTGGCTTTTACACCAAGTACAATAATATCATTCATGAATCTATGTTTTTTGGAACCACTAGTATGCTTTTGAGCTATTTTATTCAATTTTAATTAGAATATCAACGAGTTGTTAAAATCATTTATAAATGACTCAAGAATAGGTATGACAATAGGAAATTCTAGTTTTTCAGGTAGGAACATTTGTGTATTACAAATTTTATATTTTAATTTATTAATGATACATGGGGAATATACTTAATTTATTATCCCTTAAATTGTAATGCAGGCAAATTTGCCTGCGAAGATTTTTACTAATTTTTTTAACATTTAAATTTTTTAAT